TGAGGAACAACCAGATCCCTGATATAAGATGGAGCTTGGCCATTTAAGGCTTTATGTGTGAGAAAGAAAATTTTAAACATTGCGTCTGCATACCTGAGTTTAATAAATGGATGATTAGCAGGCGCCTTGCAGCCCATGGAAGCTGCTGAGGGGTGGCTGTAATCATTTGATGCTGGTGTGCTGGTGCAGACACACATCTAAAACATGCAGGACAGAGTTTGAAAACCACTGTTCTAAAGTACTTTTTGTACACACTCAATCTCAGTGTACTTGCACTATACAGAACAAAGAAGTATCAGTAGCGACGGATACACTAAGTCACTTAATGCACTTTACTTCCTTTTATTTAGGAAAACACAATATATTTAGATAAATCAACTGGCATGTTAAGAAACAGTGTAACAGTAGTTTAAGGTAGATGTATCCAACCTTAAGACAGCAAATGCAAGAAAATAACTACCTACCAAGTCTGACCCTTACCTGAAGTCAGATAAATAATTTAAAGGTTTCAGACAGCTACATCTTAATCAAGCAAGCCTAAAGCAGAATTCAACTTTATCTTGTTACCAAGCACATCGGGGGGGAGGACGACGGAGGTCCTCTTTTAGAATTACATTAAAAGTCTACTGTAACCAATGTTTGGAAGACACAAATTCAAATAAATTATGTTAAATCCATCTTCATCATGACGTAACAATGTTGGTGGTTAAATTCGGAACGAAAAAGACTTAAATCTGTGAGTTTTTTTTATTAAAAAAAACACTGCTGCAAGCTGCTGCAATTAAACCCATGTTCTCTGCCTCACATACAACATAGTGAAAATAAATACATACTTTATTTCATGTGCATATGCAAGATAAAACTGTCATTCAGACATTTTGATCTTAAGTTTCTGCTTGTTCATTTGGACATGAGAGAAGGAAATGCTTTAATTAAAAAACATGTCCCAGACTTTGTCAGTGTCATGATGGGTTCTCAAAGAGCGACCCAAGTATGCAGAACACCACTGACGGACACAGGAATAAAAGTTCAACAAGTTTATTTTGCTACAAGCACACAGAATGTACTGGTTCTGGCTCGGGCCTGGACACTGGTTCACCGGAGTCTTAAGGTTCTTGAGGTTAGCTTTGGGAGAGTCACTGTTGGATCTGGAGAGGAGTTGATCAGCAGAGTCCGCTTGCTGCTTCAGCGTCTCACGTCTAATAAAGAACAGACCTTGGCTTAGGGTTTTCCAGCTCTTAGTCCTGAGCTGCATGAAGTTCTCTAAGGTTCTTCGGGTTTGGCTCTGAGGGTCGGCTCGGCAGGTTAGCTCTTCCAGAGCTTCACAGAGGAGACACTGGTTTCCTGGAAGACAGAGACAACGGTTAGAATCCAGGCTGGATTCAAAGTCACAAAGTTACACTGAGAGTCTAGGCTTAGGCGCTGACCAACTGGATCAACACTGCGGCGTTGAGGCAAGGTCTGAAGACAGCTTATATAGTGGATCCTCTGATGATCTTGAAGTGCTGCAGCTGTGCAGGAGGCTCACTCAGAAGGATCCACGGCGGACTCTGCTGGAGAAAGGTGGAACTTCTCCAGCTCCCAACAGTCAGCAAGCTTTAAGCATCCATCCATTTTCCGTTGCGCTTATCCCTGCTGGGGTCGCAAGGGATGCTGGTGCCTACTGTATCTCCAGCTGTCTACAAGCCAGAGGTAGGGTCCACCCTGGACAGGTCGCCAGTCTATAACAGGGCAACACATGGACAAAAACAGGGCAAACAGCCATTCACACACACATACTCACACCTAAGGAGAATTTAGAGAAGCTAATTAACCTAACAGTCATGTTTTTGGACTGTGGGAGGAAGCCAGAGTACTCGGAGAACATGCAAACTTCATGATTCATGAGCAGCCCTGGACTCTTAAGTATTATTATTTTAATTTTTCACAGTTCTTAATCACTTGCTTTGCTTTGAAGAAAAAGGAGGCTGTTCTTAGAAACCTTCCATTGACTTATTCAGGTAGCTTCAGTATTAGAGAAAAACTATTACAGAACTACAATATTTTCGCGACTATAAGGCGCATATAAACATCTTTTTTTTCCCCTCAAAATGTGTGGCGCGCCCTATAGTGCGGTGCGTCCTATGTGTGTTGTTACTGCGGACGTTGTTGAGACCACCATGAGAACGTTAAAGGGGGAAGTGTGGAAGTCGTTATTAAGGCAAATGAAAAGGGCTGGATGGCTGAGGAGATGATGAAAGCGTGGCTGAGGCAGGTGTATGTAAGGAGACCAGGTGGTTTTTTCCACGCATCACCATCACTGTTAATCTGTGGCTCCATGCGTGCCCATCTCACAGCCGATGTGGAAAACAAGGTGAAACAAATGAACGCTGTGCTCGCCGTTATCTCGGGGGTCTGACAAAGGAACTTCAACCGCTCGACATCGGTGTGAACCGGCCGTTCAAAGTAAGGCTGCGAGCGGCGTGGGAGCGATGGATGACCAACGGGGACCACAGTGGAAGGCAGCGCCGGGCAAGTTACGCCACAGTTTGCGGATGGATTGTAGATGCTTGGGCTAACGTGTCTGCTGGCTCTGTTGTTCAAGCTTTGGCAAAAGCCGGCATTATTTCTGAGGAGCCGCCCGGCACGGAAAGTGACTGACAGCGAAGAAGGGGAAACTGGCATGTCTGATTTAGCGCAGCTGTTTAATTCAGAAACAGAGGATGATGACTTTGATGGGTTTGATTAATACTTTGTAATAAATACATGAATAAAGCACAGTCATACTCAGTTTTGCTCCCGCTCTATTTTTAAATACTCAGTAGAGGTATTTAAACGTAGTAAAGGATATGTACCTGTATATAAAACCCACGCCCTATAATCCGGTGCGCCTTATGTGTGTGTTAAATACAGAAATGGCACACATAACTGAGACTGCGCCTTTTAGTACGGTGCGCATTATGGTCGTGAAAATATGGTACCGGTATATATTGAGATTTTGTTATTGTCTTTTTAATATATGAATGATAAGGGTAGCGTGGCTGTTTTCATACTAGGATGAATGAATGAATCTGGACTGATTGTGTGGTTTCATCTTTGGCCATGCGAACAGAACATCCTCCATGTGGGAATTGAAACAGTCTACAATCATGTCTGTTAAAGATGAGCAACTATTATGCTGCTTCCTCCTCCTTCATACTAATGTGGGGTCTTGCCATAATCTAGAACCGCAGATAAAGTGTGAACAGTGCAGGTGTTCTTTATGACCGGGTATAATGGAGGAACCAGTTTGTAGGGAGAAAGCACAAACTCACATACTGTGGACCATTACTTTGCTTTAATATGTAATGGTAAGAAATAATATTGGACCACAACATGCCAGATAGACACTTTTGAGTCCAAAAGTCAAAATATTGATCTTCTGGAAGTAATATATTATAAGTATTAGACAACATGGAAATCCATGTCACACATTCTGCAGGGAATGGTTGGTAAATGAAAATTGTTTCTAGCCACTAAATATATCAACACCAGCTGGTTATACCCCGGTTTTTACAGTATGCACATAGTTTCATGAATCAGATATGGAAAGTGTTGTATGATCCTTATATATATACATCATTATCTGAACACACACAATTTGCTTTTTAATTTAGGTATAACTGGTATAAGTATTCTTTACACCTCTCCGTTGATATTGTCCAAATTCTCAGTCCCAGGATTTAAAGCCATATTTTAAGTCTATTAAATTCAACTTAACACATCTGCATAAATAATGATTTAGTCACTTTCCTCAGGAGGCTTTTTTGTATTAGAGACTGACTGTTATGGTGTTTTGTTAAATTGGAAATTATTGATCCAATATTTTAGCATTGATTATTGTGTTTAATGTGTTGTGTGGCCACAGTTCAACATACACTGGCTGCTCTTTTGGAGAAACACTAGCAACCAAGAGCAATCAAACAGCTGAAACAGCAAAGACTGTCCCTGCAGTTTTAACCAAGCACAGTCCACCCTCAGAAGCCCCCTCCAGTTTTTCTCCTGACAAATTTGTCCTTCAAGTAGAAGGGAAGCTCATCAAGTAGCTATCTAGGCTGTAGATGAAAATTAAACCAATGAATAGCTTTTAGGTTTTATTTTGCCTAAACCTTTTTTTTCAATATAATATTATTTTAGTTTACTGTCAAGGGCTGTTTTGTTTTTAGAATCTATAGATTCTAGATATAGAATCTATAGATAATCGGGTTGTACTCTTTTATAAATGAAAACTTTTTCTATATGCTGTTTAGAGTATAATATTTATTGTGGTGTGCAGAAATGTAAGCTGTTTTCTTGGTTTCTGTTTTTATCGTCCCATTTCTCTCTCCTTTTAGACGTGCATTCTGTTGTGAATTGTTAATGAAGGATTGCGATTGAATTTAAATAGTTATTGAGGTCATACTGCCTGCTTCATGCTTTCTGCTGTTCATGCAGCTGCAGTGTTAGAAATGTCAGAACAGCAGTATATTAAGTTATGCAGAGATCCACACATGCATATGTAATTCTTCTTGTCTTATTCCTTCTGTTAATCTCCCCCCCTTTCCCTCCACTCACCCATCTGTTTCTCCCCCTCATTCTTTCTCAGTCCCTCTTTTTGCTTCAGCATAAAGCTTTATTTCTTCTTTTTTTTTTTTTTTTACAATCAGGCTTGGTTTGTTTCTCTCCCCTCCTACTCTGAACACTGACACTGCTAAAGGGATCGCTCACTCCGCCGCTCTGCTATCTTTCCTTCTTTCCTGCTTTCTCCTTATCCATCTTCCCCTTCTCTATCTCTACTTCCCTCCCTCTCAACCTCTTTTTTCACTCTCTCTCCTCGCACAAATGCCTTAGTTTACACATTACGGAGGCATCTGTCATTTTGCTCTGTGAAGGGAAAATATTTTTTTTTACTTTTTTCTCTTGTTTTTTGGTTCCTTTTTTTTGGGGGCTGCCTTTTTCTTTCCCCCAATCCTTACCCTGCTACCAATATGTTTTATTTCCAGCTGGTGATCATGGCAGGGACCGTTCTGTTGGCGTATTACTTTGAGTACACGGACACGTTCCCAGTGCACATCCAGGGCTTCTTCTGTTTCGACAAAACCTACTCAAAGCCATACCCCGGACCAGAGGACAACAGTAAGGCGCCGCCGGTCCTGGTGTACTCCCTCGTCACCGCCATCCCCACTGTGACGGTGAGTTTTGTCAGCCACTTGTTTAAGGGATGATTGCAAATTATCCTCCACAGGTGCTCATCATGCACCTGCAGAGAAATCTCAGTCTACCATTAACAAATGAGATGATTTCCTGCCTTAATGCAATAGTTTCAGCTCATCTGCACGTGGTGGAAAGAGTGTCAGGGGGTGTGTGTAGGTGTGCATCCTCGTGGTGCTGAAAGCTGTTTGTGGCAATGCGTTCTCGGGCATAACCATGGCAACGGGCACTATATTTGTCCTCCATAAGAGCAACCAGACACAGCTATATTGTGCAGAGACTCTATTCCTGTTTCAAACAGCGGGCCAAAGGAACCAAAGCCATCATCTGTTTTTTATATAGCAATTCCTTGTTTGTTCACAGAAATGCACACTTGCATTAATCGTCCTCTTCTCACATGAAATTAATGCACAGGAAGTGCCTTAATAATTAAACACGAATGCAGAATGCTAAAATGTAGGTCAGGGTGAATGTTTCATTCATTTGCTTTTAACACATTTAATCCTCCTCTTTCAACATCACTAAGCATTTTCTGCTTATGGTAATTGGTGTTACAAGCTAATAAGTTGGATTTCACCAGAGCAGCTTTAATCTCTTTCTGTACAATAGGAAATATTAGATAATGAATCATAGCTTTGCATCCTCTTCAGAGCGCCGCCTCCTTATATTCCTGTGACCCTCAGGCCTCGTCTTTCTAGATGTTATACATTTAGGTGTTATAACAACATGTCTGATCCTGAGCCACACACTAAAGCAAAGCGTTTAAAGATGTGTCTGCTTTTCAACTGTATATTATTCAGTTGTGCATTCACAGTATAATAAGAAAAAAGGGAGGATTAGAATATAAAATTATCAATGTCCAATACAGGATTTCTCTAAAACAGAAAGGTATTTTATGAATTTGAAGAAAAAAGAATCCCTGCACTATAAAGAACCAGCTTAGAGGCATGACAAGGGAGGATGGGGAGGTGATTAATAAAGTTTTAGGCAGATTGTATGGAGCAAAAACCGATACAAAACAACTACTTGCTTGTTGGGGGAGCAACTTTTGAAGTGGATTAGGGCTGCAACTAATGATGCTTTTGCAAATAAGTTTATCTGTGATTATTTTTTCAATTAATCGAGTTATGATTGGACCAAAATGCATTGTATTAAATTAGTTGATGATTATTGCAATAATCGATTAATCACCCTTAATCCGATTCATTGTTTCAGCCCTAAAATGGATTCCAGTAAATCCTTCCTGTATTTCCTTGTTTTCTGGAGGATTTTAGCTCAGAATGAGTATAATTGAGCCGAGGTTGGATAGAGTTTCAGCCGCCAGGGTTGAAGCAAGCATCGACATGGATAATTGCTATTTTTATAATCTAAATAGTATTTTTATTCCTTTTTAAGGTTCTTCATCTGAATAATTGCATTGCATGATTGTCACTGGTGACATTTGATATTGTTGTGGCATTGCTTCAGCCAGTTGAGCAATATGCCACATAGTAAAAAAGCATCATGTTTAATTCTGTTACTTTTTGGTCTTTCCTGGGCTTTTGTTTGAAATCACTTTTGCATAACAGCTGCAGTCAGGTTGGGTCTAACTGCTTGGACTGGATCCCCCATAAATCTGTGTGCCTGCCTATCAATCTTAACTGTGTTTGCGGATGATGCAATCCTAGAGGTTCTGCTCAGATAAATAGCCTGTACTTAAAATGATGTAGAACAGTTTGAGTCTGCCTCATGAGCTTCTTTTCCATTGCTGTACCTCATACTGTATGATCTAAGGCAGTGAATAAGCAGCAAACCTCACACTTAATTGCTGTACACAGGCACCCCAGAAGCTAAGACCACCATCAACAGATAATGCCGATGAATTGTCTTGGTCAAAGACAAGACGACTGAGATGGACAGCGGCAGGTGACTATATGGTTACAGGATGAACACCTGCATCCCAAAGAAAGATGCAGCTGCTTTCCTATAACCTAATGCCATGTATAATGTCCCTGAGAGGCATAAAAGGGATGTAAGTATAAGTTCCATGTTTGCAAAAGTGAATTCAAATAATAGTTTACAAAGAAATAGCAAAAAAAAAAAAAAAACCTGACAATTTTGTTTAGCTTTTTAGAAGTTAAACTACTATATCTCCAGGAGTTGTATTGTATTTAAAGCAAAGTCCGGTATTAAAGCCACTGAGAAAAAAGAATGCCCATATGATCATGAGAATATGTACAAACACTGGAAACTGTAAGCACAGGTCTATTGCTGTTGTTGCTGATCCCAAGTGACTCAAAATGGTCTAATTCCTTTTGTTTGTAGATGTTTTATTATTGTTTTCATATGAGTACCTGTTCTTTGATGTTTTCTAATTAGTTTGAGAGGCCTTAGAGAAAGTTTCTATCTGATTTTACCAGGACAAATGCCCATGGACATGTTGCTATTTGTGTCTGTAGTCTTTTTTAGGTCTATTTTTGTTTTGCTCTTTAACAGTATGCACTCTAATGGTTGAAGGTATGCCAGCTAAAAGAACTGCTGGAGATAGTTTTGCCTGGAGGTAAAACCCCTTTTTTTTAGAGCAGATAGCGTCTCCTCCTCTCCTTTGACTCTCGCTACTTCTCAGAAATCACCTTAAGGGTAATATTTGATAGGAAAGTAATGTTTATTTTCAGTTTACTGACTGTTAACTGTTAAACATACACCCATGCAATGCAAAAACAAAAATTAGGTGCAAAAATGTGAATTTTGTGTGAATTTTACTTTATTGACGGAGCTAAAATTGTACACCCAGGTTTACATAAATAAATACACCCACACAAATATCAGGATGTACGTCCCTTTTAAAGTGGTAAACATGCGATAACCAAGAAGAGTAATAAAGACGATTTAAAGAGCTGATTTACACAGATTTTTAAATATAGTAAAACATTGTATCTCTGCTTCTGTGTCCTTGAACCCCAGTCGGCCTCAGCAGATGGCCGCTCACACTGAGCCTGGTCCTGCTGGAGGTTCCTTCCTGTTAAAATGGAGTTTTTCTTCCCATTCACTACAAGCATGCTTGGTTTGAGGGATTGCTCTTAAGTCAATTTATTTGATACAATCAGCTGGTTTTCCTTAGATAGACAAACTTTGATTGGGGCTTTAATTCAGTTATCCTGGTTTATCCATTTCGGAATCACTACTGACATTTACGTGCGCAACATTCCTCCAGTCCGATCTAAATCTTGTTTCAATAAAATCATCTGATCATGACGTGTTTATACGCTTTCGAACGATTGAATCATTTGAGAATGCACCGAATTGTCCAGTTTCAGAAACTGTAAAATGTTTTATCGATTGTTTATGTCCCAGTCTTCACAGTCTGCTTTGTATGCACTGTGCAACTCAAAATCTGACTGTTTTCTCTTGCAAATGACAGATTTTATTTTGTATTTCCCCAAAAGCAGATGTTTTACTTTGCATCTGCGTAGTTCTTCCGGTCAGACCCATAAAATTGCCATTGAATTGCTACATAGTCCATCTAAAATAGATCTGAGGTCTATTTCAGTCGGAGCTATGCAAGCACCTTTGCAGAAAACCCTGTCGGGTGTGTTTAACCCGTATGACTGCCACCACCTCTTGCGACAAAATTTTCTGTCAGATTACGCGTTAAATCCAATTTGGTGTGTTGAGGTGTGTTGAGGACCGGTGTATGTTGTACTGTTGAGCACTTTGAAAAAAATTTAATTTATCTTGACAAACATAATTCCAATTTATTAGTTTCCAAACCCTAACGACTCCCTTTTCAGAGGCATGGGCCGGTATCGGCTTTTGCAGGTCAATAAGGACCTCAACCACATCCATTGCTAAGGGATGGATGTGTTTTTTTGCTTCAATTTGTCTTTTTTCTAAGCTAAAAGAAGGCTTTTGTTTGGGCCACTCTATAAGCCTAAAACTCAAACGCTACTCCAGACATTAAGTCCAGTGGTTTTCTTAACTTTTTAAAACTTTTTTGGAATAGTTTCCATATCCCCAAAAACTTACTTCTATATTTCTTTCTGCATTGAACAATTTAAAAATATTGTTAAATGCAGTTACTATGTATAGTTAACTGGCTATAGTTAACTTTGGATAACTATGAAGTTTTTCTAATATCTGTTTATGTGTTTATTTAGACCTTGACAGCAGTGGCATACTGTCACAGCATTAGTTACCCATAGGAGATGGGAGAAAGTTGTAAATACTTTTTGTTGTCACTTGTATTGTTCTCACAATAAATACAACACATGTGGTCATAAAATATTTAGTCACCTAGCCCCAGTGGATAACCGAGCTAAGCTTAGCTACTGGAGCTAATTCAATGAAAAGATGTCAAATATTCTGTGAAATTTAACAATAGATTCATTGGAAATGACAGATTAATTCCATGCTTATTATTAGATAGTGTTAGAGATGGATGTTAATAGGTGGTATCTGTGTGATCTGTTATATATAAGAAGGGATGTGAAACTTGTTGCTATCTGTTTTTGGAAGCTGTGTGGTCTGGAGGGTGGATGTAGTATTGGTTTTGTGCAACTGTTAGACCCAGATATAAGCAATCACTGATAAGAACACCTTAGATCTTGGCCAATACTGTTTATCAGACCACTGGTCAGGCCAGCCTAAAAGGTAGATGATCCGCTGCAAAATATGATTATATCAATGATTTTGGTAAACATGACTGGAATAAATTCGTTTAATACTTAAAGATGCTTTTTTTTTTTCCCTTTGTGCACTCTTTGAGAAACATCCCCTCTCGGATTACGAACAGGGTGTTCAAAATAGACATTAATGTATAGATTTATGTGATTTAAAATAAAAGCAAGTAGATGTAATGAGTGTTAAATCTGTGATAGTTTGTCATGTATCTTTTTTTTTTTATAAAAGAACTTTCAGTTTAACATCTTTATCCTGAAATGTTGTAAAAAAAAAAAACATGATACCCTGAATGCTTGTTGTGTATTGAAGAGATGTACTGATG